GGTGATGCTGGTGGTGGTGGTGGTTGTCGTCGTCGATGCGGCAGCAGCAGGAAGAGGAGGAATAGTAGGAGCAGAGAACCAGCAGCTGGTGCGCAAACGGGAGCGGCCTCAGCCGGAGTAGTAGCCTGACGAGGAAGAGAAGTAGAAGCCTACCATAGCAGAGGCTGCTGTTGGGATGCCTTGTCGAAAGCCGCAGGTATGTCGTGCTCCCAAGTCTCACCGGCTGAATCAATCACAATCGCATAATTTGCGCGGACACTGCAAAAAAACTTCTACCCCACACCTACTACACGGAAGCGAACTCAGCGCAAGAAAGGAGCTGCTGCTTTTTCCTGCCCCTGAACCCCGAAACACAAATCCCCAAGCCATCAACTGCTCCTTCCCCGAAGCAACTCTTTCGAGGCGCTCGTGCCGGAACAGGCGCAGGCAGTGAGTGGAGTGTATTTCATTGTATTTCGGGGTTACTTAAAGGATCATGGGACTTAGTAAGTAGGGTTATAATTAATAATCATGGTAACTATACACTTATATTCCCGTGATCCTCCGAGTGCTTCATTTCAAGACTCCGAGGACTTGCATTCTAGTTATTGCTGGGATCACCTGTGCACTCAAGGCGGTGCTATATGCAATCCTACCTGCAATCCGCTTCCCAAGCTAGATACGTCAGGCGGGGGAACTGAAGGTCCCAAAAACTTATTTTACTAAACCCTAAACCCTAAACCCTAAAGCCTAAACCAGAAACCTGTCAGGGCTTCGGGGTTTAGGGCGCAGAGTCTGGGACCGACAGAGCATGGCGAAGCAGATCGGCGATTGCGGGCAAAAGATGTGCCCGCAGGCCCTCAGAGCCTGAACAGATATAGATTTTGTTCATAGGGTCCTCGTGCAATTATGCTGAGACTACTTGGAGGTTCATGGATAGTTATAAGTGGGGTCATAAGTAGGGTAACTAGAAGTATAACCCATCTTAGGGAACTTATAACCTTGCTTATAACTACCCATGAACCTCCAAGTATACTACAGCTCCACGCCCTATCCAATCATAAAGGCACTTATAATCTGTCGGTTCAGGAGGCCTGACGATATCTATCGCTACGGTGCTGAGGGTTGAAGCCCCAAAGCCCTAATTTTAATCCCTTGGAGCCACTAGGTCGCCCGAGCCCCTTGTAAAGTCAAGAGTCTTGACACCAAACATCCTACCTGATTTTGAAGAGACACATCAGGAAATCAGAATAAGGAACTGTAAAACAAGACATACGATTGGCGCCTAAACAATTACCTAATAATTACCTATACCGTTTTTACTAGTTTGGGGGTTCCTTATCATAAATAGAGTACAGTAGGCCCCAAAACTCTATTCTAATCATTAAGGCGCCCACATTAGGCTTCTTGGATTTCAAAAGCCCTCCCGAAGAGTTGCAGGCTCGACTTCGCGCTGCAGAGGGCGCCGCCGGGGAGTCAGCGGCCCTGGCACTCTTGGAGAGCCCGGGACGCCGAGCACAGGGGGCTCAGGGTACGAAGAGGGCCCTTGCTTCGCACCGGAGTATGAAGGCTTTGGGGTTTAGGGTTGAGGATTTATTTCCGGGGTCGGGGGGTTAGTTTAGGATCTTTGGATCTAGGATTATGGAGTTTCATTGGGTGTTCGGACTCTTGAAGAGGTTCTTGTAGGGGTTGATGGAGATTCAAGAAGCAACATAGGCTCCCATGTTTACCGATAGGTCCTTCCGCTTCAGCTCGCTTGAAAGAGGTGTCGGAACAGTTAGTAGTAGCCACAATTCGTAGTCAAAGTAGTTATAGCTGAATATATCCCGCAACGCCCTATTCCAATTATTCAGGCCCGTATATTGTACTTGGAGGATCATGGGACTTAGTAAGTAAGGTTAGAAGTCCCCTAATTGGGGTTATAAGTATAGTTACCCTAATTATAACCCTACTTACTAAGTCCCATGATCCTTTAAGTATTGCGAGTTCTGCATGGCCTGGAACTGTGAATCTGGTTTAGGGTTTTCGCGGCGTGCGAACAAACTGCCGGTGAGTTCAGAGAGGTTTAAGGTCAAGGGTCTCCTATACCCTAAACCCTAAACCCTAAACCCTAGACCCCTAAAACCGCCAAGCCCTAAACCGGGATGAAGTTTCGTTCAAAGTGTGTCGTTGTGGGTGGGGTTTGAGTTTCTCAGTGGAGTAATGAAACGGTCAAATCCCCTACGCTGAAACTCTCGCCCAAAGAAGCCGCATGGGTGGTTGCCACTTCCTCTGCAACTGTTACTGTAAGGGTTTAGGATTTAGGGCCTCGGCTTTAGGTTTTTGGGTAACGTACTCTCCAGCCAGATAAAACTTCTTATGCAGTCGACGACAACTCTGCATAGCCACCCGATGCACGCTGCCGCTCCTGGGCCACAGGGAGCTAATATCATAGTATAGTGTAAAATAGTATATAGTATAGTACAATATAGTTTAGTATATCTCATTATGTTATGTTTTAGTATAAGCATCATACAGTATTATTTTAGGTTATACTGTACTATATTGCTATTTGCTGAGCAAGCCTCCTTGAAACCAAGTGAGCCTGGCTATGGAGCGGAGTGTGCAGGTTTCAGACGGACGCCAACACCCTGCGCACACACTCCAAACATTGACAATGGTATAGTATATTGTAGTATATTACAGTATATGCTGTTTTATCATATCAGATCTCGATCAGTAGTAAAGCAACAGCCGGAAGCGCAAGAAGTGTTGCTCAAGGCCTGGAGCTGTCCACTCCGAAGCAGGCTCCGTCTGTGCCCGGTGAGTTGTTTGCCGTCGACGTCTTGACGCACATTGCTGCGACTGCAGTTGCTGTCGTGTCTACAATAGCCCTAAACCCTAAACCCTAATTACAAGTTTAGGTCCGCGATCTGATCTCTGAATCTTGATTCTGCCGTCATTCGTATCCAACTCATTAGCAGTAGCATCATTGCCGCTGGTGCAGCATGTTCCACTCCAGGGCTGGAGGTTGGCAAGTTGCAGGGCTTAGAATCGAAGCTTTGGGGTTGCAGGACATAGGAAAATTCGACTGTACTTGGGGTTACCTGCGAGCGTTGCCTCCTATGGCTTCAGGGCGTTGGTGAGCTTATTTCTAGCTTTGGCAAGGTTACTAGAGGGGCCTTAATACTTACCTATACTATTTTGGGGGTTCCTTATTATAATTACAGTATAATGGGCCCCAAAACCCTATTAAAAATTATTAAAGCCCCTACATTAGTGCCAGAGCACCCGGGCTCGAGGGTTGCAGGGCGAGAGAATCATAGAAAACCTGACTCCAGTGATTAAGGGACCTATGTTGGACCCCATTGAACAACTCGTAAGGTCTGTAAGCATGAGTGAGGCCCCTGTAGCATGCCCTAACCAGCGCCGCTGCCGGTGCCAGGACGAAAGCGTCCCTGGCGGAGTGCCGCTGCGCTGCCCAATGGCACTCGCCAGTGGAACATTGGTGCGCCCGGACAGTTTTGACAACCAGCCCTCCGTAAATCGTAAACCTTACTTAGAGGGTCATGGGACTTGCAAGTAGGGTTATGGCTAAGGTAACTATACTTATAACCCCAATTTGGGTACTTATATCCTTACTTACTACGTCCCATGAACCTCCAAGTAATTCGCCCGGAACTCGGCCCTTTTTCCCTCGACCCCACAAGTATGGAGTGAACCCGAAACCATGAAAGACTTCCACCATCTACCACCCAGTAGTTGCCTAAACATGGACCAACATCACGCATTCCTCAGGGCTCCTTAGTACGATGAGAGTATAACCCACTCCAGAAACTCGCACAGTACGAGCCCTCCGACCGAGTCACCGCAGGCGCTCCTGAAGTCTTCCCGGGCTCAGAATCCCCAAAATCTGGGGCCGCTGCTGGCGGTGGCGCAGGAGCAGGCGCTCGCGGGAGGCGAAGGGATTTTTTGAGGTTCGGGTTTGGGTTCGGGTTTTGGGGGTTTCGGTGGATTCCTACATGCTGAGGCAAATCTGAGTTCTTAGCAGTCTTTGTGGCACTTCTTTGAATCGGCAGAATGCAGAAGAAGTGGTCCTTGCCACTGCATGACAGCTTTCAGGGGTTCCGGAGAATGCCGGGTTTAGCAAAGAGACTTCCGGCACTGGAGTGGCACACATATATACAGGACTTTTTGCAATGCGTTCTTGGTCCAGAGCATAGCTGCGAAAGCCCTCAATACCACTGATGTGACCTGCAGGGAAATCCAGGAACAGACGTTTGTTTCTCTGCTTCGCGCTGTTTCAGTGACCATCGACTATTGGCGCACAGGCATCCAGAACAAGCCAGACTACGTCAGTATATACGACACTACACTATACTACACCAGTGCACTAGACTACGCTCGACTAGGCTTGACGATACTGCGCTAGGCAATAAGTACCTACACTATTTCTGGGCTTCATTGTTATAATATTACTATAGTATGCCCCACAACCCTATTCAAATTATTAAGGCCCCTACGTTATCATGCTCCAGCCTATCCGGCCATCCCTTCCGTGCCCGAGCGCTTTGGGGCGGCCCAGGCCAAGGCCCTTCCCGGCATTTTAGAAGGGGTAATGTAGGGGCCTACTATGTTTAGGGTTTAGGGGTTTAGGGTTAAGGGTTTAGGGTTTAGGTTTTAGGGTTTAGGGTTTAGGGTTTAGGGATCTACTTGGAGGATCATGGGACCTCGTAAGTAAGGTTTAAAGAGTGCGATACGGGGTTTAGGGGTTTAGGGTTTAGGGTTTAGGGTTTAGGGATCTACTTGGAGGATCATGGGACCTCGTAAGTAAGGTTTAAAGGGTGCGATACGGGGTTTAGGGGTTTAGGGTTTAGGGTTTAGGGTTTAGGGTTTAGGGATCTACTTGGAGGATCATGGGACTTCGTAAATAAGGTTATAAGTCCCTTAATTAGGGTTGTAAGTAAATATAAGTATAGTTACCTTGATTATAACCCTACTTACTCAGTCCCTTGATCCTTTAAGTAGAGGTTCGTATAATGGTTTGTTCAAGGCTGTCGTAGGGCCTCACAAGGGTTTTTGCTAGGGTTCCCCTGAGCCCTTAACCCTTAAACCCTAAACCCTAAACCCCTAAATCCTAAACGCCAAACCCGAAACCTTCAATTTCCAAACCCTAAAAAACCCCTAAACCCCAAAAACACCTAAACCCTGAACCCCAAACCCTAAAATCCTAAACCCTAAAAACACCTAAACCCTGAACCCAAAACCCTAAAACCCTAAAATCCTAAAACCCTAAACCCTAAACCCTAAACCGTGTAACCCTAAAACACCTAAACCCTAAACCCAAAGTCTCTGAGAGGCGAAGACCCGAGGGATTTCCACGGAGCTCCACAGGCTCCAGCCTTGGAGCCTTTCGAGCCCTGGCTTCTTGAGGAACTTAGTTTCGGGTTTAGGGTTTAGGGTTTAGGGTTTAGGGTTTAAGTCACCATATTAGGTTCTAGGGTTTCAGGGTTTCAGGTGTAGGGGATGAGGGTTAGGTTTGTAGGGCTTAGGAGCTGAATTGAAATGCCCATAGTAGGAATTTCATGGGGCTTCGTCAAATTAACGGTTCCTTGACCAGAACCCAGGAGGGCGACACCATGCGGCCTTCAAGCTCTCAAAAGCTTGGGGGATGTGGCCACTGCTGCTCTTAATCGGGGCAGCTTGGAGAGTTTGTGGCTTTTGGTTTCGGGCTTAGGGTTTAGTTAAGGGTTTCGAGACGGAGGTTTAGGGTTTGGAGTTGAGGGCTGAGGGATAAAGGTTCAGGGTTCCGGGGTGTGATCAGTCCGCCTTGAACGGAGTTTCAGACAATCAAGGACGCTACTGACTGATCGTTAGCGTAGGAATCCTTGGATAAGACAATCCCCAAGTTGAATCAAAAGCATCAGAGCTCACACAAGTGGCAGTCGCCGAGGTCGTCTTCTCCCAACGACGCCAACTGAAGAAGATGGTGGAACCGCCACGCAAGACTCGGGTCCTGTGGTCGGGCTGCTTGTGGGCCTTCCTTTCCACGATGACGGTCTTCGATACCAGCGGAAACGCCATTGGTTATCCTGTTTTCTTCGGCTTCGTGCTGACCTACATGCGCTGCTGGGATGCAGCCAAGCTTCGTCCAGGGGTCACGTGCATTCCGCTGCCTATGCATTCAAAGTAACGTAGAAGCCTAAATAATTACCAATATTATTGTTCGGGCTCCTTATTATAACAATACTATAAAGGAGCCCAAAACCCTATTCTAATTATTAAGACCCTTCCATTATCGCACCCAGGTGATCGAAACGGTGTCATTGCCGGAGACTGGCGGGAATCCCTGGCCACCTTTTTTCTCGTCGGGGCGGCCGTGACGCTCGGCGCTCTCTGTGTGGAAGGGGCCTTAAACCCCAAGCCGGCAGAACTCCCAGAGCGACCCTATACTATATCATACGGCCATACGATGCTATGCACTACACCATACCATGCTATACTAGACTCTAGTATACTCCACTATTCCAGACTCGACTATTCTATACTATACCCTGAGCCCAGGTTTGCAGGAGTTTGGATTGCCAGCATCCCTTCACATCTGCTGCCGGTTCGGAGGTCTTGGAAGGTGGTCGCATCTAGACTGTTCTTCAAGCATGTTGTTCAAGCTTTAGTATCTTGTGTATGGTGGTATAGTTGTATGTCTTGGTATAGCCTATTCGAAAGATGCTAAACCCTAAACCCTAAACCCCTAAAAATCCTAAACCCCAAACCCGAAACCTCCAACCCCAAGCCCTTCAAAGCCCTCAACCCTAAAAACCCCTAAACCCTAAACCCATCATTTTTTGGGTGTAGTAAGAGCCAAGAACCATGAAACTGCTCAGGTGTGGCTACAGCAGCTCCAGTTGCTTGGTTCTTAAGGCCTCGGGGCCCTTACATTTGGAGGTTCATGGCCAGTTCTAAGTGGCGTTACAAGTCCCCTCATCTGGGTTATAAGTCCCCTAATATGGGTTATAAGTCCCCTAATATGAGTTACAAGTCCCCTCATATGGGTTATAAGTCCCCTCATATGGGTTATAAGTCCCCATAATATGGGTTATAAGTCCCTTAATATGGGTCATAAGCCCCTTAATATGGTTTTAAGTCCCTTAATATGGGTTAGAAGTATACTTACTCTACTTATTAAACCCACCTTATAACCACCCATGAACCTCCAAGTATCCCAAAATCCCGAACCCTAAACCCTAAACCCTGAACCCTAAACCCTAAACCCTAAACCCTAAACCCGATAAGCTTCTGCAGCGCTTAAAAAACTCCAAGATGCCACAGCAAAACCCTAAATTCAGCTGCGGAGACCTGAAGCCCGAATTCAAACAAGCTCTTACTTCCCCTGCAAGAGAAACCCTAAACCCTAAACCCTAAACCCTAAACCCTAAACCCTAAACCCTACACCCTAACGTTCAAGAATCCTTTAGAACTCAGGTCCTAAACTCGAAGCTCCAAGGGTTTAGGGTTTAGGGCTGTGCCCTAAGCCCTAAACCCTGAGCCATGAACTCCCCTTAAGCCCGAAGCACTACTTGGAGGATCATGGGACTTAGGAAGTAAGGTTGTAAGTCCCTTAATTGGGGTTATAAGTATAGTTACATTAGTTATAACCCTACTTACTAAGTCCCATGATCCTTTAAATAAACCCTAAACCCTAAACCCTTTAAGGGGTACCCCTAATAATACTACCTATTCGCCCCCAAGGCTGTCTTGCAAGAACGCGCTGCACTGCCTCGGCGGGCGGCCCGGTGCTGTTTGCGCTTCCGGGCGCGAGGCGTGAGGGCTTTTAGGGCTTGAAGGTTTCGGGCCTTAGTTTAGGGTTTATGGGGTTTAGAGTTTAGGGTCTTTTAGGGTTTAGGGCTTGAAGGTTTCGGGCCTTAGTTCAAGGCTTATAGGGTTTAGAGTTTAGGGTCTTTGAGGGTTTAGGGCTTTAAGGTTTAGGGCCTTAGGGTTCAGGGCTTATAGGGTTTAGAGTTCAGGGTCTTTTAGGGTTTAGGGTTTTCGGCGTGCTTTTAGGGCTTGAAGGTTTAGGGCCTTAGTTTAGGGCTTATAGGGCTTCGGGTTTGGGGTCTTTTAGGGTTTAGGGCTTTTCGGGGTTTAAGGTATACGGCTTTCGGGTTTTAGGGCTGTTTTTGTTTAGGCTTTAGGGCTTTGGGTTTCGGGTTGGCGAGCTCTCCTTATCAGTTTGTCCGCGCATGGCAATGTGTTTGCCCGTTGCGAGGGACGCATCCCCTCTGTGTTCTGCTAGACTCGTGCTGTAGTCCAGCGACATACCCTGAACCCTACATGCTAAGCCCTAAACCTTTAATGGAGTGGTGGTGGGGTTTCGGGGTTGTTGAAGTGAGGGCCTTGGTAGTTAGGTTAGGGTTCCTTCAAGAGGTTCTTTTAAAGGGTTCCTGTAAAGGTTCTGCAAGAAGGGGAGTTTGTAGCAAGGTTCTTGTAGCGAAAGATCCTTGATAAGGAAGTAGCGCATCTAAAATGTATACGGGCTATAAGAATACTAATAATGTGGGGATGCTGTATTGATAATTCAGAATTCTATATGGAGCGAAGTGGCTTGCTGAAGGGCCAGACTCTACCAGCATCGCAAAATCGCAAAACACTTGTCGGATCAAAATGCCCAGCATGTATGTGTGGCCTTTGGGCCAGCGGAGGAGCCTAGCTTAGGCATCGAAACCCTAAACGCTAGACCCTATAAGCCCTAAGCCCTAAACCCTACAAGTCGTGTAGGCGGAAGTTGGGGCGATAGAAGAAGAGGGTTTAGGGTTTAGAGTGGCTTTGGGTTTAGGTTTCAGGGGGCCCCTAAACCCTAAACCCTAAACCCTAATAGGGTTCATGTAGACCTTACATGTTCTCTTCCCATGAAGATCTCGACTCCAAGGGGTGGTAAAGATCCCGTATGGGGGAGGTATGAAGGATTCGTGAAACGTGTCTCCCTACATTTTAAATTTTTAAACCGAAAACCTAAACCCTATGAAGCCTATTAACCCTAGAAGCCCTATAAAGCCCTGTAAGCCCTGTACACCCTAAAACCTATAAGCCCTAAAAACCAAAGCCTAAACCCACGAACCCGAGTCTGATCCCACTTATGGCTCTCTTCAAAGGGACCTTATTGAGAGGGTCTATATCCCCAAGGGCCCCCCTAATCCTAAGTCCGACTAGACGGGTTTAGTTCAGGGATCTTGCAGAATTCGAATCTCCTGGGTTTTTTTTGCAAGGGTTTGTGCGCTTTAGGTGTTTAAAGGGTTTGAGTTCTGGATTTTGTGATTACGGTTTAGGATCCAGGCTTTCGGCTTTGGGGGAGTTGGCTTATCTGCGCCGGCTTTATGGGTGCTTGGAGGAATCTCGGACTTAGTAAGTAAGGTTATAAGTCCCCTAATTGGGGTTATAAGTATAGTTACTTTAGTTATAACCCTACTTACTTCGTCCCATGATCCTTTCAGTAAACCCCAGACCCTGTACCCGAAACCCTAAACCCTAAACCCTAAACCCTAAACCGGGTTAGGTACATGGACCCTTCGGCAAACTCTCGGTGCGGATCCGGGCAGTTGCAAGTAGCAACAGGGAAGGAACGACAACAACGAACAACAACAACCCCTAAGCCCTAAACCTCTAAACCCCAAACCCACGTAAGGTTTAGGATTTGGGGGCTTAGTCGGGTTTGAGATGTTTCGGGCCACGGTTAAGGTTTAGGGTTTAGGGTTTAGGGTTTAGGGTTTAGGGTCTAGTTTTTGGGTTGTACTGCAAACGTTAGAAGCACACTCGCCTACATGACGCACTGCCAGACTACAGAGGTTTCTTGTACAGGGCCCAAAGACAGTAGCCTGCTTCATTATGAATTAGTTTCCTACTGTTGAAGATGTATATATATATATATATCCTGCACTGCCCTAAGGACCCTCAACTATGGGAATTATGGTATATCCCTTATGATGGGTAGTGCAGGCTTTCTATATCATAAACCCTAGTATATCTATGAGGGACTTCCGCCAGAGTTTCAGGAACACCAAGGTGCCAAGGAGCGTATGCCTGGCTAGAAGGATCCCCAGTTCTGCCCCGTTTAAGTTTAGGATTCAGGTTTAGTACTAAGGCCTTCGCAACGACCAGGGTCAAGGGTTTAAGGCTAAAGGGTTTGGGGTAGCACAGTTTTTTATTTGAGATATTAGGATTGGGGATGCTAAACCCTAAACCCTGAAGGGCATTGCATGCGGCTGGTGCAAAGAAAGCCACTTCAGCAGCAGCGACGGTACTTGCCAGGGGCCCAGCAGCGCTCTCGTCTTCGGGATTCATCACGCGCTTTAAGCCAAATAGGCTCCATGGACCTCTATGGTATATATTTAGGCCTTACAGGTCTTCCCAAACATCTGCTTCAATGGAGCGTCAGGGGAAAGATGACTGTCAATGGTTCTTCTACCTATTGTCTCCTTTTTGGTTCCTTTCTTTGATAACCATTCCCTCGCACTGCATTTACTTTGACCTTCATGACTGTCGTCCCTACGCAGGTAGATTAGGGTCCGAGTATATACTATGGGTAGTTCTCTACAATATGGTCCCCTTTAGGGGGTCGTTTGCATAAGGCGTACTATTTGGGGGACCTACCTTCTTCAAACGGGCAGGTTCCCTCGTAAGGAGGCAACCGAAACCCAACAAGCTACCATGGAAGCAAGAACTACTGGGAGGATCATGGGACTTAGTAAGTAAGGTTATAAGCCCCTTAAGTGGGGTTATAAGTAATTATAAGTATAGTTACCTTAGTTATAACCCTACTTATTAAGTCCCATGATCCTTTCAGTAAAGCTTGAAACCCCAAAACCATAAACCCCCAAACGGCGATGGATGTCCCCTTGTGGGGCCATGGCAAAGGAGCGGTCAAGCTAAGCCCGGACAGTTTAAAGCCTAAGCCCCAAACCCCTAACCCTAAACCCCTAAACCCACAAATCCATAAATCCGTAAACCGAAAACCCCTAAACCCGTAACCCTAAACCCTAAACCCTAAACCCCTAAACCCATAAATTCCTAAACCGTAAACCCCCAAACCCCTATAAAGCCTAAAGCCTGGGCCCTAGGCCCAAGACCCTGGAAAAAAAAAAACTAAACCCTATTCCCTAAGGCGACCCCCAAGCCCAACATGTAAGCGACGGGACAGGCAAGTATTGCCCTGAACTCAAAGTAAAACTTAGAGCTAGTGCGACCTTGATCCCTGAAGTGCCTGAACCGGTGCACGCTTTAGGGCTTACACTCTAGGTGTAGGGTTAGGGTTAGGGTATAGCGTTTTAGGGGTGTAGCTGCCTGAACCGGTGCACGGTTTAGGGTTCAAGGTCTAGGTTTGGGGTTAGGGTTAGGGTTGAGCGTTTTAGGCGTGTAGACCACAGAGTATAGGGTGTAGGTTATACCCAGCCTTGACTCTTGCGTCGAAACTAGCTAACCCTAAAACCCTAGACCCGAAACCCTACGCCGTGTCTCTACTTGAAGGATCATGGGACTTAGTAAGTCGGGTTATAACTAAGGTAACTATACTTATACCCCCAATTAATTATTAGGGGGCTTATAACCTTACCCTAAGGGTCCAAGTCCCTAATAATCATATACTCTCCCAAGTAGTAACCTACATAACTACTATCCGAAACCTAAGTACCTGATTATTGGGTCCTTTGGACCCTGAAGGTTACTTACTAAGTCCCATGATCCTCCAAGTACGGGTTTGAAGAGGACTCCGACGGCTGGGAGTTCTGCTAAACCCTAAACCCTAAACCCCAAACCCTAAACCCTAAACCCTAAACCCGCAACCCTACTTGGTCCCCACGGAACCATCAGTTCCAGGGTTCCTGGTTATGATTATATCCTTATTATTAGGGTTTAGAGTTTAGGGTTTAGGGTTTAGGGTTCTTGTTATGATTATGTTCTTAATACCAAGGTCTTAAAAAAATATCAGAAGGATGAAAATAGCCTTTCATAAGATCAAATCTGAATGTGTGTTTGCGTTCTTCCAGCTAAACCCTTACTTGGAAGACGATACTACGCTTCTCTCTCTCTCTCTCCGTCTCTCTCTCTCTCTCTTTCTCTCTGATTCTTCCAAATAACAAGCCCTGGCAACATGGCACCATTTTTGCTATCAGTACTTACTATTCCCATGGCACCATTATTGCTATCAGTACTTGCTATTCCCGGGTTCTTGTAAAAGAAGTTAACCTAATCTAAAGGTACCAGAATAGGCGAGAATCTATAGTACCTGGTACGATGTTCTTACTGTTCAGTGACAAGAACCCAGATTCTGGAGCAGGTGTACCTTGCCAGGGGGGCGACAGCCTACCGGGCTTCTTAGCTCTTGTGGCGCTGTTGGTCATCGCGCTGGGCCTTGCGCGATACATGCCGCTTGGCCGTTAAGTGCGATGTTTCGATTGGCTATGGTTGTACTTGTTTTGTTGTGTTTTGTGCTGCTACGGTTGGTGATATAGATCCTGCATTGCCCACAAAAAGGGATATACCATCATTCCCTTAGTTTAGGGTCCTTAAGGAAATGCAGGGTCTATATCATCAACAGTAGCGTTCAGGCTTAGGTGTTTGGAATTGAGGGTTCAGGGCGGGGATGCTACTGGAAAGGAATCTCGGAATGGTAGCCCTAAGGGTCCATGTACCCGAATAGTATAAACTTTGGCCCCAAAGTACCTATATAGGGACGACTCTATATGGCCAAAGTATATACTAGTTGAGTATACGGACCCTTAGGGTAGCAGTCTGTCAGTGGGGCGGTGATTAACCCCACTCCGGCTTGTCTTCTTCGTGAAGGTACACATGGACACTTATACCCTAAAGCCGTATCTAACCCTTAAAGGCTTAGTAGCTGAATGAGTACACTTTACACTTTTTGGGATACTATGACCCCTTGAAGAACTGAAAGTGTACCCTTTTGGGGCGTATGAACTTATAACAACTAAGAAGGAGCAATCACCTGCCAATCACCAAGCAGCCCAAACCCTAGGCAAGACCTAAACCCTTTTCCCTAAACCCTAA